GCTAGACAGATAAGGGGAACTCACCTCTCCCTTTGGTACTGGCAAGCGCTGCACACTATCAAGCCTGTTAGAATCAGTCTTAGCATCAATGTCAAGTTTCTTGTAAGCACTCTCCTGATGTTCATTTTCCAGTAAATAAGCAGACACTGAGCGGATGGGGCTATTTGATTTCTTAATCTGCAGCTGTGGGAGCTTTGTAACCACAAGCCTCAGTGAACTCTAGATGACCCTGCAACCATTTTCACCTAGCCAGAGGGGGAGCACCTCCTTTGGTGGCCTGACAGAGGGACTCCTGTGACTGGCAGAGAGGCATGGCTATGATTGATGCACACACAAAGCACCATTTGTAAGTGCCTGTGATTGGTGCAGACACCCTTCCTCTGGTTGTGTAAGCAGGCTGTTCAGTGCAGTGAGACCCTTTCTGTGCAGCCTCTGCTACCTCTCCCTGAGCTGTTGAACATTAGGCTTCGAGCTGAAGAAACTGATGAACAGCACAAGACCAGTCACTGCAGGGAGATGGTGGCAAGCTGGTGTTGATGGTGGAGAGATGGCAGAGGCTGGGAGAAAGCTTGAGGGATCTTGACTTCCGAGGTCTATACAAGAGCTAGACCCCATATAGAGCAAGAGATCTAGCACCCTAACCTACACAAGAGGGCACCACCTACTACTATCAAATCAGAGTCATACAGAGACCAGCACTTGAAGAGCTTCTCTTTTATTGCCTGTGACTTCCATCCAGATAGAGTGAAAGGGTCTTAGTGACTGGTATCACTGGAAAACACTGCTTTGCAGTTGGCATCCTGGAGCACCATCTGGGCCAGACTGTGGGGAGACTGCTTGGGTCTGCACCCAGCCTCTGCTACTTCCCAGGATTGCTGAGCAGGTTGTTTCATCTCTCTGTACTTGCCCTCACCTGTACATGGGATAATAACAGGGTCTCCCTCCTGAAGCCCTTACATTGGTTGAAATGACATATAGGAAGCACTTAGGACATGGTTGGTGTCTTACTGTTCTGTTATAAAGGATAGCATTTAATTGGGGCTTGCTTACAGTTTCAGAGGGTAAGTCCACGGTGGGGAGTGTGGCGGTACAAAGGCAGGCATGGCACTGGAGCAGCTGAAAGCTTTACATACTGATCCTCATGCGGGAAAGAGAAGAGAGAGAGAGAGAGAGAGAGAGAGAGAGAGACTGGGCCTGGCATGGGATTTGAAAACCTCAAAGCCCACCTCCAGTGACACACCTCCTTACCCTGTACAAACAGTTCATTAGCCGGGGACTAAGCAGGCAAGATATATGAGCCTATAGGGGGATTTTATTCAAAAGTCACCCCAGGCTGGCTCATAGTGAGTGGTGTTTAAATGCTCTTTTGAAAAACAACCTTTTCTGGAAGTCAGTTGAGTGACATGTATCTTTTTTAAAAAAGATTTTGTTTATTATGTATACAACATTCTGTTTCCATGTATATCTGCACACCAGAAGAGGGAACCAGATCTTATTACAGAATGGTTGTGAGCCACCATGTGGTTGCTGGGAATTGAACCCAGGACCTCTGGAAGAGCAGTCAGAGCCATCTCTCCAGCCCCAGTGACATGTATCTTAATCCATTACAATGACAAGACGTTTCACCCAGTATTTTCATCATGTCCCTATGCTAATGACAGCAGTGCTTACATTTAAGCACAGTAGAAAGCTGGGACCAGTGGCACAAACTTGTAATCCCAGCACTTGTGTGGCAAAAACAGGTGGATTGCTACAAGTTTGAGGCCAGCCTAGTTTACATAGCAAGCTCCTGGCCAGGGTTACATAGTGAGTCTTGCCTGTCTCAATAAATAAAGAAAATCCAAAAAACCAAGCAAGCAACCAACTAACAAAACAGATCATAGTAAGCACTTAATAAATGTTTACTGAATTGCATTTACTGGTGTATATGTGTGTGCATATATACATATATATATATATATATCTGTATGAATATGGTGATATAAGATTATATGTACCTGAAAAATTCATATAACCTAGTGACATCAATACAATTCCAATGCTCACATGTTTGTGGTGATACTATGCTACTATGTAAGGCTGGTCATGTAAAGTATAGCAGTTCAATGGTATGTAATGCCTAATTTTTGGAAATGATTATAGCCGACTTGTCATTCTCTTGTAGATATGTGCTTTATCATAATTTTAGTTCATACTTGTACTTGGAACAGAGTACCAGGCAGTGCATGCCAATGGCAGTGGTCTTGTGCACCACATATTTGCTTGATTTGCATCATGCTGCCACATGCCGTGACTGATCTCTGCCATCTACCTTCATGCAAGCACATTTGATGACATTTTACAGGGACAGAATCACCTAATGTCGTAGACGTGTCTGACATAGAGTGACACACGGATTTTCCCTAGGGAACGAAAAGGAGAAGATAGGGGTTACCCACACTGCCATCCACTCAGGGCAGTGGACATTTGCAATTGTTTCTAAGCCTTCAAACTTCTTCCAGTGCTTAGCTGAGTATTCTAGTGCATAGACTCTTTCCACGTCACAAGCCAGTGTAGCACTGTCTCAAGAATATCAGATTTAGTTGGCACTATACTGATGCCATGAGATGACCAGAGGCAAGCACCAAACTGCCAAAATGTACCTGGAAAGGAATGTGCTTACTCGTAGGGTCACATGGAAAAAAAACCACACAGGAATCAACTTCTAAAAGGCCCTCTGGACACACAGTAGACTCTCATACCAATGAATTTTAAGCTCTCTAGTCAAGTGATTATGGTGACTGATAACTAAAATTTTTTTTTTTGGTTTTTCTGAGACAGGATTTCTCTGTGTGGCTTTGGCGCCTATCCTGGCACTCGCTCTGGAGACCAGGCTGGCCTTGAACTCACAGAGATCCGCTTGCCTCTGCCTCCCAAGTGCTGGGATTAAAGGTGTGTGCCACCAACGCCCAGCTGATAACTAAGAAATTTATATTACAAATCTGGTTCATCTTCCCTGTGATTCGAAACAACCTCTTCCATTGTGGATCTCAGAGGTCCCTTCTGGCAGCCCAGGAGTTAGACTCCCTAAATTCTCAAGTCATTGTGAGTCTCCCAGGGTTTCTGGCACTGCAGAGCAGAGTGGTTGCTGAGTGTGCCTTGCAGTACTGCTCCTGAGAAATCCTGAGTGCTCACTGCACCTTCCCCACATGAGGACGAAGCTCACAGTATGTATGCCAAAGTGTGTGATGATGTCTGGAATTGGAGGCTGACCTTATTATATTAAAAACGGAATCCCCACTGTGTGTTGTTGCATTAGACAGAGTGGCCCTTTGATAGATTGGCAACCATATTGAAGGGAGCTGTACAAGGGAAGGACTCTTCTAGTACATCTGCATTTTGCAGTTCACTTCCGCATCTCAGAGATGCCAAGTTGCCATCATGTCTTTCTGGACGCAGAACTGTCATGCAAGTCTAGTTCAGAGCTTTGAGTTCAGAGTACCAACTGGAGCCACCAGAGGGCACTCTTGCAACATGAAGCCCAACATTTCTCCTGGAAGCTGTTGCCATCTTTGCCAGAAAACCTGAATTTGCTGAATGCAGTGGATCTCAATTTTCAACCCAGAGCAGTTTCTCCCTTTTTCCCAGGGGACATCTAGCACTGGGTAGAGGCAGGTGCTGCTACTGTTTTGGGGGCACGGACCCATGTTCTGAGAAGTACTCATGAGTGAATAGGAGAGCTCTCAATAACAATGAATTACATAGTAAAAAATGCCAGTGGTGCCAGATGGAAAAGGTCTGCTTCACTGAAATGTGTGGCCTTCCACAAAGAGAGTACCACCTGGAAGAGAGTCCTTATGGTGGGCTTTACCTATCCTGAAGGGCAATTTTAGAATGTTGGCCTCAGAGCATTTTTCATCAGCAGAAATATGGGCATTACAATCACCACACACCACTGGAGAGGAGGTAGGACCAGGCAGAGAACACATCATTTCTTTTTACAGAGAAACCCCTGCCCTTAGGGCTAGCCACTCTGCGCGGGGCATGGGCCCAATGAGTGCACCATCCACTTCCTGGTGCTGCTGCAAGGCAGCTTTATTGCCTAAACCGAGAAGGGAATAGGAAAGTCCTGCGATGGTCCTTACAGTTCTGGGGATGAGGCATCAGTGTTGAGAGAAGTGGGAAGTGGTTTTCACTGTGGCCACGGGGAACACGGGGAAAGAGCCTGCGTTTGTTTCCTGACATGGGGCTGAGGAGGGAGACAGAGACCCCTTCTCCTTGGGATCATCTTGGCCTTTCTGTGCCCGAGGGTTATGCCTTGTCCTCTGTAGTTCCTCTTACCCATTCCAGTTGAATGACAATGCATGGTCACAAGACCAGGAGGCTGCAGAAAGGAAATGTGAGACAGGCTCCAAGAGGAACTTGCAGTGGGCAGAGGAACCCTCTGGGCCTTTCCAGTTCATGAGCTGCTCCACAGAAAAGGGCAGAGGACAAATCCAAGCCCTGTAACTGATAGCCCAGAGGCAGGAGAGCAGCATGCTTCAGTGGCCTTGGCTTGTGCAGCAGCCCTCCCCACTGCTTGCCTGTCCGTAGGAGAGTTTCCTCTCTCTCTCTTACGTGTTCTCTCTACTCTGCCGCCAGGTGTGTCCAGTCTGCTCTGCTGCTCACCCTTAGGAGCCCAAGCAGAGGCAGAGGGAACTTGGCATCATCTTCCTTCCCCACTTTAACCATTAGAGATTTGCTCAGAGCCCCTCTACAGGGGTCTTCAGGTCTTTGACAAAGACCCCTGCTCTATCTGCTGTTCAGTCTTTGGACTGGCTTTCCTCATTTCCCTGGAGCTCTGTGGCCTCTGTTTGGTTCGTCTTTCTCTCAGGTGTGATGGTAAAGAAAGGAGCTTGGCTGGGTGATTCCCGTCCCACTCAGAGCCTCAGGCCCTCCTCTGCATTTCCCAGCAGGACTCCTGGGCTGCATTTAGTGCCACCAATGATGGGAACATAGAAGGAACACAGCCAAGCCTGGGGTGCACTGGAGAAAGGCTCTTGGCCAAGAGGGCAGTTTGCCAAGGGCATTTTTATTCACAGCTAGCAATGGTGTCCTGCAGAGATGAGAAAACCAACTCCTCCCTCACTCTGCACCTGCAAGAACCTTCCTGGGACAGAGTTTCCTAGTGGCTGAGCAGTCAGAGGGAGGGCAGAGAAACATGTGAAGAGTACCAGGGGTCCTGGAACCCTTAGACACAACGGGGAAATGAGCCCAGAGGAAGAAGGAGATCCTAAGACTTAAGCCCAACAAGCTCTGTCTGCCCCAGCCTAGTGACTTAATTCCCTCCTCTGGGCAGGCATGGGGCAATTCAGTGACGGAAACCCTTAATCTCATTTATCTCCAAAAAATTTGAGATTAATAATGTCTCCTTAGTCCGATAACAATTTGATTGGAGGGGAGGGTCACCACCTCAGTTTCCTCAAGCCTACGTTTGCCCCACCTTGATCCAGCTTCATCCTCTAGGTTCTCCAGTGAGTCTGGCTAGGAGGAGGTGCAAAAGTGGAGTTGGAGGAAAGGGGAGGGGCCACCCCTTGACCTCTTTCTCTCCAATTAAGAGGGATCCAAAGGCCACATGGCTCTGAGGTTCTCTGGATTGTGGAACATGGAAGTTCCTTTCCCAGGTCTGAGTCCCAGAATCTCTGAGGAGAGTCCCTCATTGGAATCCAGGTGTCCCTTTGGCCCTGGATTTACCACCAATTCCTCAGGCCTGAGAAACCGGCGCTGAAGCCGCTCACTAGTGCCCTGTCTCAGCCTGGCCAGCAGGGGGAGTCCTGGAAAATGCCAAGCACCTGGCATACACAGTGGGCCTGGGAGCCGAGGACCAGGCTTGGAGGACCCTGAAAGTGGCTGCTCTGAAGAGAAAGGAGGCAAGATGGGCCCTGAGAGGTGGGTCCAGTTACAGCGGAGGCGGGGTGCAGGAGTGAAGGAAGCAACGCTGGGAAGGTCACCTTGGAGGTTCAGGAAACAGCAGCAAGATCCTTGCCAGCCTGGGCCCAGGGCTGAACCGAAACCTAGAGAAGGAGGGAGGGTCAAGAGAGCACGCCTCCCCAGATGCTCCTTTGCCTTCTCCCCTTCTCCTCCCCTTCCCGCTGCTCTCCCCTCTGCATTTCTCTCCCCTCCCCTCCCTTTCTCTTCTCCTTCTCCCTTCTCCACCCCTCCCTTCCCCTCTGACAGCTAGGCTGGCCTTGGATTTGTTACTAGCTGAAGATGGCCTTGAACTCCTGTTCAACCTAACCCCATCTCCCGAGTTCTGCTGGCATCACAAACCTAGGGCTTCCTGCCTGTTAGCAAAGCGCTCTCCCAATGGTGCTCCAGTTTCAGTTTTCCTTCTTGCTTCAGAATCCTCTCCCCCCACCATTCCTCCCTCCCCTTCACCTGGAGGGGGCTCCCTCCCTGTTTTTGCTCTTGTTTGGTTGCCATATCTCTCCTAGATGGAACTTCCTGAGACTGACAGCCTTGTGGGAGCTCTTGCTTCTGTCCTTCTCTCTACCTTTCCTGGGACACTTGGCTCTGTTAGAAGTCTTATGGTTAGGTATGTGTCTACTTCTTTAATGTTGGTGTCTCTAGCATTGCTGGAGCCGGAACTGTTATTGGCTGTATTTTTCCCTAAATCTAGTCCAGACTTAATCCGGTACAAATCAAGCTCTCAGTAAAAATGTGTGGAGAGATAAATGAATCCTGTGTACGCTAACCTGGTGAATCCATCTTTACTCCAGCCACCCCTGCTCCAAGGCTCCAGACTTCAGCTGGGTAAAGAATTGGTTGTGGGACCAAGCCCTTGTCACCTAAACATGAAGGCCTCTGCCTTCTCATCCATAAAGTCCTCTCTCCTAGTTAAGATCAAATGACATCTGCTAAGATTATGTGTAAGAAGGGGGGCCATGAAGTTCATGACTGTGAGGCCTAAGGCCATGTGTGGTGTCCACAGCCTTGTCCTTCTGTCTGATACTGGTCCCATAGCTCTCCTCCTCTAAAATGTCTCCTCCTTTCATTCCCTCCCAATCCACTTTATTTCCCCTCCTGGCCTGCCAGGCCCCCACAGGGGTTACCCAGGCTGGAGTTCCTAGAAATGGCTAGACAGAGCTGCACACAATGCTTTTCTATTTCCTTGGAATGCTATTTATTTATTTATTTATTTATTTATTTATAAAGCAAGGCCACATCATTTAACTAAGAGACTAATGGGGGTCACATGGGTATGATATACTGAATAAAAACTGGGAAATCAGATCAGGTATTACTTAATATAGCCAGTTGTTAGCTAGGAATATTTCTCAAGCCAGATTCATGAGGGATTGAAACAGATGTTTCTCCATGAGAAAACATGCGGGCTCCTCCTTCCAGAGTGTTCTCTCTCTGTAGGCCAGTGTCTTTCCCTTTGGGCCCTTAGGTAAGGACTGTTGTCCCACAGACAGGTTGTGACCCCAGGAGCTACTGGATTCAGGGCATTGTCCACATTGTAACTGAGTAGGCATGTGGAGGAGATATCTTGGAGTCTTCCCAATTCCTGAATCTGGTTGAGTGTCCCTGGGCTCCCCTGTCTAACAGCGGCTTCTTCTCTTGGCACAAGATCTGAGTGAGTGTGGAGGTAGGGTAGGCAGTGGATTCCAGTCCAGAAGCTTGGCACATGACTGTTACCAGCCCTCCACTGACCTAAAACCTTCATGCCTTCATGCCCTTCTGGGCCCTAACATGGGGAAAGAGTGAGTGAGTGTGTGTGAGTGTGTGTGTGTGTGTGTGTGTGTGTGTGTGTGTGTGTGTGTGTGTGTGTGTGTGTGTGTGTGTAGGAAAGCAGGGATGTACAAAGGTTGGGGCTAATAGTTTCCCAAAGGGGTAAGCTTTGTGTCTTCAGCACTCTGGTGCTGGGAGAATGGTGTGGTGGACGAACAGAGAAGCCCCTCATGTGCTGAGTAGCTCTAGGATGCCAGACTGATAGCCCCCCCCACCCCCCACCTGTGGCCTGCACCATGGTCCACACTTTGGGTTGTAATCCTCAAAACTGCCTGAAGTGGAGGGCATGGGCCTTTGCAGAAGATCCCTGGGTTGGATCTTTCCAAAGACAGCCTGGCCTGGTTACTTGGAGGGTCATTAGCATCTACCAATGTCCTCCTCTCCCTCACTCCATCATGAAGTGTCACTACTAGCTTGCTTCCAGTCCCTCTTCCTGTCCCAGGCTTTTAAGCTCTTGGTCTCCTTTCTTCCTGTAAGCTCAGCTGAGCCTGTGTCTGCATATAGATGTCTGCTCAGTCACTTTGTGGAGGAAGTCTTCCCTGCTGTCCCTAGTACCCTCAGTGTCCCCTTTGTGTCATGTAGCAGTTATGATTGTGTATCCATTGGTGACTGCCTTTCAGCCTCTTGACTAAGTGCCCTAGAAAAGCAGCATTGCTCACATCTGAACTTCAGACCCTGGCATTAAACAGGAGGCAGTGAAACATCTGATGAGAGAAGAAAGGATAATATGAGCTTTGTCTACCTCTCATCAGCTGAGGTTCCTTCTCCATCCCAAGGCACTACAGTCTTCTTAGATTGTCTTACAACAATAACAACATTCCCAACAGAGGCTAGAGAGGTGGCTCAGTGGTTAAGAGAGTTTCTGTTCTTCCAGAGGACCTGAGGTCTGTTCCTAGCACCCATGTCACACAACTGCCTAGAATTTTAGCTCCAGGGTACTCAATGCCTCTGGCCTCTTTAGGGCACCTGCACGCATGTGCACACACATGCAGACACACTCCCTACACATAATTCAACACATAACAAAAACAAAATTAAAAGCCTTCCAATGACAGCCTGGTTAGCCACACACAGCCTGAATACAGATGCGCACTGACTTATGATAGGGTTACAGGCCGATAAAACCATGGTGAGTTGAAAATAATATAGGTCAAGAGTGTGCTGGGTGTATATAACCTACAGAATGAGTCAGTTCAGGAATGTGCTGTTTACTGTCGTGATATGTGGATGACTAGAATGGCAGCTCCCTGTACCTCCTACTGATAGCCAGTAGAAAGGTCAAACTTCAAAATTCTAATTATGTTTTCTGTCACAGAATGCATATTGCTTCTGTATGGTACCATAAGGTCTAGAAATTCTTAGATTGGAACCTTTTATAATTTATAAAATGAAATCTAAGGACTCTGGATGTGGCTCAGTTGGTAGAGTGCTCCATGAGCATATAAAGGCCTGTACCACAAAAACAAGTAAATTAGATGAAAATCTAAACATATCTCTTCTTCCTGGGCCCTCTTTGAATGGCTTCTGAGGCCTTTTGGATTTGAGTAGCTGTTGGCGGGCATCTGCCTGCCACGCCTCCTCCGCCTTCCCACCTTCCTTGATGTCACGCTAACAGCAGCACCCTCCCAGGTGTGCCGCACATGCTCACAGCTCCCACTTCTCCTATGCCAGGGCATTTTTGCCCTCCTTCCCCTCTTCCAGGGAGCCCAGAGCCCTCTTCTGTGCCCTCCTGGCTCCTTCATCCCAGACTCCATTTTTCTAGCTCAAACATCTTTCATGTTTGAGCCCCATGAGTAGTAAACAGAGAATGAATGAAGATCTCTTGTCTCATGCCTGCTTGGGCATATGCTGGACCATGTGGGACCTGAGAGGCTCCCCTCCTTTGTTTAAGATCCCCACCAATTTGGTCCTCAATACTCACCATCGAAGCTGCTGTTCCCCTTCTCCCCAGATGTTTCCAGTGGCTCCCATGAGGTCCTCTCTCCAGCCAGCTGTGTTTCTGTGGCCCAGTGGGTGTACAGCGTGCTATGCAGGGGCTAAAGACGGAGGAGACAGGAGGCTGGGGTGGGACAGGCTCTCTCTGGTGTCTTGTCTTCTAAGACACAGCAGAACTGTCGCCCAGTTGTTAATATGACAAAATATTCCCATAATGATTCTTAAGCAGCCAATGGCTGCTGTGAGTTGCCTGCTGCCTCAGATGCCTTGGACCCTCCCCTGCACCCTCCTATCCTTCCCTCTGACACGCCGCTAAAACATGATGCCTAGCACAGAAATCATCCTTCCTCACAGGTGGGTGTGGCTCACAAAGACTAAATCCTGGAGAGCTCAGAGACTAGAAGACAAAAGAACCCTGGAGTCTCTAAGGTGGAGAGTGGCCTGGGGCTTCCAGGACAGAAGGACAGGTCCTGTCAGAGCTCTGAGGATGGGGCTGCCTTCATGCCTACCTCACTCTGAACAGCCACAGGCACCAAGGCTGGCTGACACAATGCAGTGGACCCCAACAGCAGGTGAGGGGTAGAGGGTGCCCACACTTTCCATGGAGGACAGTTGGCTACAGAGAGCTTACTGAAGTTGAACTTGTAGGTAAACCTCTTGCCTTTGGTCTTGTGCAGGATCTTCTTATTGTAGTAATACCTAGAGAATTGAGGAAGGAAGAGACTCAGTGTCTCCTCCATCAGACTAGCAGGTACTGGAGGACACCAGCCATCTTCCCATAGCGAGGACATTTCCCAAGCACTGCCACGGTGGGAAGCAGCCAAGAGTGCCAGGAGCCACAGGCCTTTTCCTTGAACTCTGCCTCTTGTACTGTTGGCCACTGCTCACCTGAGGGCCCGGCTCAGCTTGTCATAGTTCATCTGTGGTTTGCACTTCCTGCGGCCCCAGAGGCGAGCCACTTCGTCTGGATCCTTGATGACAAACTCCCCATACTCTCCCTGCTGCCAGGCGATGACATGGCGGAACTCGTCCTTCTGCAGCAGTGCCAGGATGAAATGCCACAGCTGGATCTGCCTGGAGCCTGGCGACGACTCAGCTTTGTAGGCCCAATTGGGGAAGGCCAGACCTGGGGTAGGGGAGCGTGAGGGTCACCTGTTGTCCTCAGGCCCTGCCCAAGTCAACTTCAAGAGCATGGGAAGGAGGCAGGGAGTGTTACCTGAGATCCAGTAGTTGACAGGGGTGGTCAGGATGCCTTCCAGGAAGCAGTTACAGTGCATAGCGTATGGTAGGAGAGAAAGGGTTCAGTGTGGACCTCAGGCCTGCTGAAAGCAAGGGAAAGCATGGAGGTAAGGAAGGAAGAAAAGAGTCCTGAACAGAAAAGGAGCTGACTTTCTTTGTGTGCATGGGAAGTCCAGCCTGTGGGGACCTCCTTGGCTCAGAGGCTACCCCCAGGTGGTAGCTGGGGTCAGAGCCCAAAGAGAAAAGGTTCTTCCATCCTGACCCAAGATGGAGGATTTAGACAGAGAGAAAAACTGGCCTTCAGGCTCAGCAGGACTTTGTTTTTGAGAAGAGAAGAATGATTTTTTTTTCTTTACTTTGAGTAGAGGAGCAGTGGCAGGCATACATACATACATACATACATACATACATACATACATACATACATACATACATACATACATACATACATACATACATACATACATACATACATACAGGCATACATACATACATACATACATACATACATACATACATACATACTGCTAACATTTTTTGGTTGTTTTGAGACAAGTTCTCATGTAGTTCAAGCTGAGTCTCACACTACATAGCTGAAGCTGACCTTGAACTCCTGATCCTGCCGCCTTTACCATGTTAGTGTTGGGATTTCTGGCATGCACCACCACACTTGCCCGCCCTCTCCCAATTCTGGTAACTCTACAACAATTTCACATTTGAAAAGGGTAGAGATTTTTGTGTTGTTTTCACCAAAACCCAAATGCCTGGTGCACAGTTGTCAATAAGTGATAGCTGGCAGAATAAATGAATATTAATGACTTTTCAATGGTCTCTTTTGTTGCGAATTTAAAAAATGTTATCTCCTTCACTTCCGTCACCCCAAAACTATGTAGGATCTAGTCTTTATTTTGTATTTTTTCCTCCAAAAGTTGTCACCTCCTTTCAGGGTAGTTTAGGGGTAGCACCTACTTTTAGAGTCTCCCTCCTACAGCCTGGAGCCTGAGAGGGGAAGTGACAGCTTTGAGTGAATGGACAGATAGATAGGTGGCTTGAGAAGATGGGGCCAAGAAAGGCTACCTGGCTGAGATCAGAAACTCAAGGCTTGTTTCTCCAGTCTTGTGCCTGTGCGCCAGGGAGGCAGACGAGTGTCTAGCCAGGGCCAGGGTTGTACCCTGCTGGGTCACACCCTTCCTGTGTTCTCAACATGGCTGCTGCTCCAAAGCTCCCGTGGCTCTGGATGCCTTTTTGACTCCATTCTCCTCTTGGTGGGAGGGAGCCTCAGCCCCTGCCCTGGGAGCTTCCTAGGCTATCCCAAGATTGGAGACAGCTTGGATGGGGCCAGCCTGGTACTGAGAATGGCTGATCCACACATCACAGATGCTCTTGTTGGGTAGTACCTCTTGGAAAAGGGAGTCTAGATCACTGACATCCCCTGGAGCGCAAAGATTCAGGGCTATCCCCAAAGAAGCTAGGCTAGCTAATGGTAAGCACAAGAGCAAGAAGCAAGAAGTGTAAGATCTTCATGAATCTGTGTGACATTTTTCTTCACTGAGATGCTAATCTCTATATAGTTCTCCTTTCAGCATATCTGCTGTTCAAGCCAGTGCTCAGTAGTATCAATTTTTTTGACAGCTATGTTCCTCCTGGAGCTCAGGAGCCCTGGCCATCTTGTTCAGTGCTGGCCATTTGGATTACATCTTGGCACCATGCTTTGTACTAGTAGGTGCTTACTGAATCATGGGTAAGAAAGGGGGTTCTCTGGGTGCATGTGGGGGAAGCAGGGAAAGGTTTTAGAACTATCCTCAGTAAGATAGGCTTGTCCAAGGGAGGCGAGGAGGCATTGAAGCAAACCTGGGTTGAGGAGAAGATGGTGCAAGATGCTGGCTTGTGGGATGTGAACAGTGTGCAAGAGGACTGAGGAAGGATAGGAGGGAGGGCCACGGAGCGGGATGAGGAGCCTGCTCTTGAGGTGGCCCAGGCAGGGACTCCCATGCTGGTGAGTTCAGCATGAAGGAAGTATTATTCTCAACTAGAACTTAATAGGTCTGGAGGGCACACAGACATCAGTGTGTAGCAACCTCCTACCATTCCAGAAAAGGCTTAAGAGAGAGAGGGTGACTTGACCAAGGCCCACCAGAGTGGCGACAATCACCCTCAGAACTGTCTCTATGGAGTGTCCCTAGGACTTGAAATCATGTCGCCTTTGGCAGTGTTTCTAGACTTCAGTGAGCATGAGAAGCATCTTAAGTCATTTCAAAATGAGGATCCTGATCACACGGGCCGGTGGGACCTATGACAGCACATGTCTAACATGCTATGCGGTATTGTGGCCATGTGTCCCCGGACTGTGGTCTGAGTGTCAGGAACCTCTCTGGCATAGTAGGTCTTAGAGGCCACTCTGAGCCCCAGCAGGGCTATAGAGCCTCCCCAAGGTCATTGACGGAGAAAAACTGGAAAGCAAGACCTCAGATCAAGATTCTAGTTGGACATGTGCACATGACTATAAAGTCCTGCACTCAGGAGGCAGAGGCAGGGAGATCATCCCAGGTTGAGGCCAGTGTGGGCTACATAGAGAGTTCTAGGACAACCTGAGTTATATAGTGAGACCTGAAGAAGAAGAGGAGGAGGAGGAGAAAAGAAAAGAGTGATCCAGAGCTGAGGACATGTAGGATTAATGGTATGTATGTGTCCTAGAACTAGGCACATGCAGGGTCCCTAGCCCCTGCTTGTCCTCACACCTTCATGAGAAGAGAAAGGAAGGAAGGAAGGAAGGAAGGAAGAAGGAAGGAAGCAAGCAAGCAAGCAAGCAAGCAAGCAAGCAAGGAAGAGAAAAAGATTTACACAGTCCAGCCATGGAGATAGGCAGGCTGCTGACCACTCCTCCCCTACCTGAAAAAAGACAAAACAGTTGTGGGGCATGACTGATCCCAGTACTTGGAAGGCAGAGGCAGAAGGAACATGAGTTCAAGGTCAACCTCAACTACACAGCAAATTTGAGGCCAATCTGGGCTATATGAGACCTGCCCCAATAAATGAATCAAAAGACAAACCAAAACACAACATAAGCAAATGGCTCCCCAAACCCAAACATGCAACCAGCGTGGCATGCGGTTGGGGGAGACTGAATCCCCTGGTTTGGACACAGTAGCTTCCTACCCAGATGTGCCATGCTCATGAGTCCACAAGAAGCTTGCCAGTTCTGGGTGTGGGAAGCCTTAGTGTTAAGAAGTCCCGCCAACGGTCTCCTGAAAATCCTTCCCTTCCTGCCTGAGGCCCTGAGCTGACTGACAGTGGAGGCTTTCCAGAGAAGAGTAGCTCTACCACCATGGGTGTCGACTGTCTTTGTCACTTAACCGTAATTCCTTGTGTGTCACTTTTAACCAAAAACCTTGACGATTTATTAGTGTGTACCTGTGTAATGTGTACATGTGTGCATGCGTGTGTACCTGTGCATGGCATGTGTGTGGAGGTCAGAGGACAACTCTGTGGAGTCTGTTCATTTTTGAAGTGGGTTTGAGGACCTAACTCAGGTCACCAGGCTTGTTCTGCAAGCACCTATCTGCTGAGCCATCTAGCTGGTCCCCTGTGTCGCTGTAATCGACACGTTGGTGTGGAACTTCCCTGGCTGGGGGCATCCCACTCTGTGCCCTCCAACCTGTTCTCTGGGCCGGCTCTGGCTCTCTTGTGCCGTTAGCTGCACACTCAGATTGGCCGCATTCTATTTACCTGCAGCCCTGCAACACCCATGGCAAGATGAGCACAGTAGCTTACAAGATGAGCACTGGGAACCAGAAATCAAAGACTACCATAGCCCAGCCTGGAATGATCATCGTGGGTCTCAAAGCATGCTGTGCTTCTGGAAAGGCTACAGCAGCAAATCATTATTACCATCACCATTGTTCTGATTACTAATAATGTTGATCCCCTTGGCCAGCATAAGAGCTCATTACAACACAAGTAGGTTCTAGGTCATTATTTAATAAAAGCAGGATAGATAATGATGAAAACAATAGGGAGTAAGGCTTAAGCTCGGTGAGGAGCCAAATAAAACCTCCCAAGCTGCTTCACCTTTTCACACTTTCGGCCGATGTGACCTGGGACCGCCACGGGTTCAGGACAAGGTGCTCTTGTTAAGTTACTTCACTGATTCCTCACAATAACCTCTTGAAGTTGGTATTGGCTACATTTTGTAAGCTGAGGAAACAGAGGCTCAAAGAGATTAAGAGACTTGCTTAAGATCCTGCCAAGTGGTGGAGCTAGATGGAAACAGGTCTGTCTGACTCCAGGCTCGGAGCTGTAATTGGTCAACAAGGGCAGAAGAGCTGAAACTCGGAGGAGAGAGGCAAGGCTGGCAGGAGGCCCTTGCCTCAAAGGAGACTGTCCAACCAAGCCCAGGATGTGGGCTCTTGTCCAGAAAAAATTTCAACAGTAGCTCCAGAAAGGCAGAGGCCAGGCACCCAGTGAGCAAAGCATGAGAAAGATAGGAGCACACAGACAGACACATAGATAGAGAAACTCACACAGATACATACATATAGACAGACACACATAAACATACACATACATGCAGACATGAATGCACATATACAGACTTGGACATACACGCAGACACCCACACCCACACAGAGACACATAGAGATGCACACAGACATAGACACATAGACAGACAGACACACAAATGCATACACAGAGATACATAAAGGCATACATGAACACATGCACACAGTCATACCCATAGAGACACACAAGACATATACACATAGGTATACACACAGACACACATATACAAACAGATAGACACACACAGACACACAAAGACTCATACACAGAGACACACACAGGCACATACACACAGAAACACACACAGACACATACATACACAGAGACATATATAGGCATACATGGACACATACATAAAACACACACAGACATATACACAGATACATACACACAGACATACACAGAGACACATACACACAGAGACTCACATAGACACACACATAGAGGCACACACAGAAACACACACACAAACAGATACACACACAGACACGTACACACATATACACAGACACATACACACATAATGCATACACAGAGACACACACATAGAGGCACACACAGACACATACACACAGTTACACACAGACATATAAACACAGATACACATAGACACAGATGCACAGATACACACAGACAGACATACATGCACACAGATATACACAGACACATACACACAGTTACACATAGACACACACACACACACAGACAGACAGACATATACATTTAGAGACAGACGTACACACAGACACACATGTAGAGACACACACAAAGACATACAGAAACATACAGAGACATAAACACACATACACACTAGCATTTGAGCATGTATATAGAAATGTACAGCAGATGGGGTAGCTCACACTTGTAAACACAGCACTTGAAAGGCAAAGACAGGTGGTTTGCCTCAAGTTCAAGGCTAGTCAGAGCTACAAAGAGAGTTTTAGGTCAGCAAAGGTGCCATAGACATGCCCAGCCTCAAACAAAACAAGCAAATCAGTAAAAATTATAAAAAGGAAGTCACACTGTCATTGGGACCTTTGTAGCTAGGGACCAAGTGACCAGATCAACTGGACAAAACCTGGGCTTTTCCGTGCTCCATTGAGTTAGGAGGAGAGAAGCCTGCTGTTGAGTAGAGAGACACAGACTATAAGCCTGAAAGAGCCAAGCAGAGAGATGGGTCCTGGACAGTGAGGTCCATGGTAGGACCCAGGGGCCTGAAGGACAAGATGGAGATGAGACCACAATGACAGCCACAGTGACAGCCAGTGGGAGACACCTCAGAGAGCTCAGAGGCTCTGGGGGTAGAATATCTTCTCCTTCCCTCCTCTGAGTCCCCAGACTGATTGGGAACCTCTGGTTCCCCTGGATCTTAGCAGGTGGGGACAGCAGGCTCTGCTGATCATATCACCTAAACTGTAAGAGGACCTGCAACCTTGGGTGTGCAGGTGGGGACCCTGGAGGGGGGGTTCTTTGACCCCTCACTCTCCTTTCCCTTCTCCCCTAGCTGAGGACACCTGGTACCTCTCACTCCCTTGGGGATGACGACTTCTGGAAAAGATTCCCTCAACCCCTTCCTCAGGGTCTCAGTTCTTCACCTAGCCTCTGGTGGCAGACCCACCCTGTGGCCCACCTGGTCTATCCTCCTTAGGGGCAGCAGGATTTGATAGGCTTTGTACTTCAAACCCAGACACCCTATGACAACTCAGGGTTGACAGGAACGGGCAGTTGAAGGTTGGGGAAAACAGCAACAAAACAAAACCCCTAACAGATGCTCTGGGGAAACCAGGGCTTAGGGGAATGGGCCACAAGGGTGACTGTCACAGGCTTCAGCCTGGTCCCCACCCCTCCTCTGACCTTCTCAGCTGTCTTCAACCTGCTTCTCCATCTCTTCCATCCAGCCTTCTGTCCTACCTGTGGCCTCCTCTTGTTGGGCTGTTTCTCTGTGCTTTTCTCCTCAGCTCTCTGTTACCTCTGGTGGGTTACCCCTTCTCCCTGCCTGGGTGACTAGTCTCCCCGGGTCTCAGTCTCACCCATTGCCACCTGGCCCTGTTCCGTGCTGGCTGGCCTTGTCACTTTTTGTGTCTTGCCCTTTTCTGTTTTCTTCCACCCCTGACTCTTGGAGCCTGTATCTTTTCCATAATTGCCCCCAGCACTCAGTCTCCCCCAGTGCTGATCTAATTTGTCATAGTCCTATCAGCTGTGCCTTATGGAGCCTCCTGAAGACCCCTACCCTTAGTCTCCCCACCAGGAGCAAGACATTCCCCGAACCAGGCACTAAAGCAGCAGCAGAGCAAGGCTACCAGGAGATGAAGATTCTAGCAGTTGAGTTGGACGAATTGACCACAGCCCTGAGATAGGGTGTTGGGCCAGTCAGAAAATCAGAGCAGCAGCGGATGCAGCTGACATCTGAGGTGGCAGGCAGTCTCCAGAGCTGAGGCCAGTCCCTTCTGACTCAGTCCCTAACCACCAACCCCCATGTCCATATCTACCACATCTAGCTCAGACCTCCAGGCTAAACCCGAGCCCTTCCCTTCCACCATGGTGGTCTGCAGCCACCTCAGCTGGCTCTGTGTGTGGTGTCTAACCCCACAGGGCCCCATTCACTGCCCCTGGGCAAAGCAGAGAGACCCCCACCTATCCATATATCTCCCCCCCTCCCACTTTCCCAAAGGACTTTCTCCTGGCATCCTGTCTGCCTCTCTAGCTGCTTCTGTGCTCCCTACCATAGGGGTTCCTACTCTAGGATTCTTGGTCCTAGGTCTTTGGGAAGGGTCCTGGGGGCAGAGTCCTCTTGCCCTAACAGAGGCATGCATCCCTTCAGTTCCCCCAGCGAGACTCAGGAGGGAGCCCTTGGCACGCTCTACCCACTCAGTGATGTCCCCCAACTCATCTGCCTCAGTCTGCTCCTCTGTGAACCTCAACAACAACCGCGCTCTTTTACCCTCAGTCACCACCCCCGCCCCAGCCCCCCGGCAGCGACCAGCCTCAGGTGCACGGCACCTTTGGACCATATGGATAGCCGGATGAGAAGTTGGCTGAGGTCTTGGTTATTTGCTTACCATTTATCCAGGAGTCTGGTCTGTCCCAGAGAACAGACGTTGGACCCCACTGGCCCCCACCTGCAGAGAAAAGTCCCCTGCTACACTGAACCAGTATCTCTGTCTGGACCAGTGTCTCCCAGATGCCAGGTGCTCTCGGCCCTGAGGCTCTGTGCCATTCCTCTGTAGAGAGGAGAGCCTGGCCACTCCTGTGGCCCCTGGCTCCTTACTTCCCCTTCCCAAATGCCCCATAACTGGTTCCATAGCCAGGTGCACAAAGAGGAGCCCCGCCACAGACCTGCCAGAGTGGCTTACCGCCTTGTAGCCCGCAGTTCCGTGTGCAGTCTGTCTCCTTCTGGCTCTTTCTTTGCCCTTGCTCATCATGCCTTAGGGTTACTTAAAATGAGAGGGATCTCCAAGCTCCCAGGGGAGTCGATGTGGTTTGCAGGCAGTACCATTAACCCTTCAAGGACCAGTGGCATGCCCTATGCCCCACGCCGGCACCCTGCACACTCATACACATCCTGCAGTAGAGTAAGGCTTCTTCCTACGGGGCAACCGGCTTTAAAGAGGCCTATAAGGCGATTTCCTCTTATTCAATTCTTCTGAAGGTTGCTGACACACTGGGAAGTCCTACCAGTCGTCTGTCCATCTCATTCTTTCAGCCCCTATCTTGTAGAGCTTTCTGTGGAGACAGTTGAGAGCAGAAAACTGACCCCCAGACCTCCCAGACTTACACCGGCTGCTGCCTTTCCCAGATGCCCTCTCACTCACACACTAATGCCAGATTGTTACAGTCTTTAACTTTCCTTCTTTGGCTCAAATAAAATGATATGATGATTCCTTTTCTAAGCATATTTTTTTTTTACTCACTCTTTAGTACTGGGGACATGGCTAGGCTCTTCCACCACTGAGTCCCATCTCCCATGTGATAGTTACTCAAGCTCCTTTTCTAATTTTTTTTTTTTCAAGACAGGATTTCTCTGTGTGGCTTTGGAGCCTGTCGTGAAACTCGACCTGTAGGCCAGGTTGGCCTCGAACTCACAGAGATCCACCTGCCTCTGCCTCTCTAGTGCTGGGATTAAAGGCATGCGCCACCAACACCCAGCTTCCTTTTCTAAAATTTAAAGGCACTTAATATGTCTATTCTCTTACGGTTCTAGATTTTTTTTTTTTTATTTTTAGACTTTATTAATTTGGCTTGAAGTTAGACAGCAGGAAGAACTTCCAACTAAGGATTAAGCAAACTAGGACACAGTGACTACAAGGGCATCAGACTCAATGAAGAACAAGATAAGGGCTATGATTCCCAAGACACCTTGGGGAGAAGATAACTAAGAAACAGGCTTTTCAGGTGGATACCTGGGGAACAAGCCACCCTGGAACCTGTTCAGCTTTCCAGCCCTAAGCAGGGAGAGAAGGCTGATGGATGCTGGTGGGGATCAGTATGATTTTTCTGTCTTCACTGACTCTGGGAGGCCGTGCCCCCTCCCCTCAGCACCCCACCTCTTCTGGCTGACGGGAGACGCAATAGAGGGCATGGAATTACATTCCAGGTTTGTTTTCTGGTTAAATCAACCGAAGCTAACATGATGGACAGGTGGGGGAGAGAGAGGCTGATTGATAAAAGACAAGAGCTTGGGCTTCAGGGAGGAAGGGTCCTGAGGGGGCTCCTTAGGCCAGAGCCATGCAGGAGGAATGACAGGGTCAATGATGGGCAAGGGAAGAGGAGTGTCCTGGTGTCCTCATTGAAGGAGGCTGGCCTGTCCCTTGCTCACCATCACCCACTCAAGAGTTTAAAGACTGGGCACAGTACCTACCTCCTGTCCACCTTGAACACTGATGGTCAGGAGGCAGAAGGCTCCTCTGTAGGCTACTAAACCCCTGTGGCAAAGTTCCTTACAGGACCCAGGTCCAGGCCAGGGAGTGAGCTGGAGGCACTGGCTGCTTCTATGTAGCTTCAACCTCTTCTCCTGTCTTGCTTGGTCACTACCCCAGCATACTTCCTCTTATCTCCCGGGAGACCTAAGAGGACGGCCCTCCTTGCTGTCCACTTCCAGCTTCCCTGCCTTCCTGGCCCATGTTACTGTACACAGACTAGTCCAGGAACAGAGCTAGCAGCCAGGCACTGGGCTTGAAGGACAACTTTTCAGCTGGCTAGAGCTGTTTCCTCCACAAGATAAAAGCAAGGTGGGTGGAGCTGTGGGACTATAGGGCCCTGGTCACTGAGCAAGATACCAGGAGGTACCCATAATCCTTTTATACCCCACACTCAACACCCAACTCCACACATAGCTCTGATACACAAGTTAATTAATTTTATTTATTTATTTTTTTAAAGTTCTTGAGACAGGACCTCACTCTAGCTGGGGATGGCCCTTGCTGGCTTTGAACATGGCAATTCTCCTGGCTTCACATTCAAGGAGTGGTGAGATTTCAAGTGTGCACCATCACACCAGCTTAGCTGAGGTTTTGAAAGTGGTTTAAAATATATTGTGTGGTAATTTGTGCCTGTAATCCTAGCACTTTGAAAGATGAGGCAGGAAGATCACACTTTCAAGGCCAACTTGACCTGCAGAGTGAGTTCAGGGGCAGCCTGTACCACTTATTGAGATCCTGTCTCAAATAAAAAGTAAAAATAAGTCTGGTAGATAGAGGTTTGCCTAGCACTTGAGAAGCCCTGGGTTCGATCCCAATACCATAGTGAAAAACAAAGACCTCCAAACAAAACAAGCGGTGGCCCACACTGAACAGGAAAGAGGCCAAACCCCGCCTTCCCCAGCCTGGTGCAAGGAAGTTCGGAGGACCCTTTGGGATTTCGGAGGGTGGGGGGTGGGGGCTTACCCGGCCAGCCTAGTCATCATAAAAGACAGACACACTTACAAGCACACTTTGGCTAGCTACTGGAAAAAGAGGGGCCCAGCCCACCTCTTTCTGTCCTGTATCCAAGACGGGACAAGAATGGCAGGAAGGTCGTGGCTTTACTGGATTCCGAGAGGAAGATGGGCTCTTGAAGAATGATGTACATAGGTGTCCAGAGATGGCCAAGGAAAGGAGGTGCAGAAGAGAGAAGCAAGCCGGGTCTGTGAGGCCAGGGAAGTGGGCAAGAGGGTGAGGGGAGCTTGTGCTGCAGGTCTGTGTGTCCCAGAGACTGTAGAGACCCTTCAGGTCCTATTAGCAGCAATAGAAGGTGACATGTGGGATCGATTCCAATTGAGGCAACAGACTCCCAGTAATAAACCTATTTCACTCACACTTCTTGCCCCCACCACTGTGAGAGAGGAAGGCTCCTACTGCTTTCCCAGAGGCAGCTCTTTTCTGGCCCTGCAGGGCTGCTGGGGGATCCTATGAGCCTGCCCAGGCCCCTGCCTTTCCAGTGGGAACAGGGACAGACCTGGAGTGTGTGGACTGGTTCCCCTTGGGCACAGGTGGAAGCCTCTTTGTGCTCCTGTGTCTGTTCCTTGTCAGAGCTAGTTCTAGTGTGGGTGTCTGAATTCAACTGTGTGCCTCAGTAGGTCTGTGTAGCCATGGTGAAACGAGGATGCATTCCTCTGTGGCCCTCTGCCTGGGGCTGAATTTGTGGGTGTGGGTGTCTGTGTCAGTTTTTGTTTCCAGCGTGCCTATCTGTCCACGAATGTCTGTCACACGTGGGTGTGTGAGCCCCACATAAGCTGTGTGTGAATACGAGCGTGAGGTCTGGGTTTCGGTGGCTGTCTGCAGCGTGCTTTGTCTCAGAGACTGTGGGTGTCTGTGTATCTACATGTTTGTGGCTGGCTGGTCTTTGTCTCCTGGACACTGGGGAACTGCTGCTGGCATCTCAGCACTCACACGAAAGCCCTGCCCCAGTCAGGTTGGCCAGGCAGCATCCTGCAGGACAACCAACCATCCCATGCTACTAGGGCTAAGAGCTTCCCTGGTGCAGGATTTCCAGAAATGAGTCTCAGAAAAACTCAGGCAGCTGGTCTTGTGCCTTCCGGGCCTGGACTCGGGGAAGCTAAAGTGAATGTTAGTGCACGTGCCAGAGAAGGAAGGACAGGAGACAGGCAGAGAAGGGGGTGAGGAGAAGGCCAAGGTGTCTGGATGGAGGAAGAAACAGAAAGGCCTCTGGAGCAGCTGTGGTGGGAGCTTCCCTAGGGCAGGGGAAGGAAGCTGAGAGGAGGAAAGTGGGACAGGTTGTCCCCACTCTGGGACTCTGCAGAGGAGAGCAGTGCTGGGTCTCATGGGGGACAATGTCAGGGTGTGAGAACACTTGCCTGCTAGTGAGGTGTCAGCAGATGCAGGGCCTGGTCAGGACCCCCTTGTGTCCTCCTGCACATCTCCCCTGACTGTGTGTGTGTGACTGTGTGTGTGCGTGTGTATGACTGTGTGTGTGACTGTGTGTGTGACTGTGTGTGTGAGCATGCCTTTCTGCATGTGTGTCCGAGTCTCTCTCTCTCTCTCTCTCTCTCTCTCTCTCTCTCTCTCTGTGTGTGTGTGTGTGTGTGTGACTGTGTGTGTGATATGTGACTATGAGTGAATGTGTGTATGCGTGAGACAGACTGTGTGACTGTGTATGCCTCTGTATGTCTGTGTGACTATGTGTGACTGTCTGTGTTGCTCTGTGTGTAAGAGAGACTGTGTGACTGTGGTGCATGTATGTGTGACTTTGTATGACTGTGTGACTCTGTATGTCTGTGTGACTGTGTGTGACTGTGTGTGACTGTGTGTGTGACTGTGTGTGTGTGACTGTGTGTGTCTGTGTGTGTGTGTGTGTGTGTGTGTGTGACTGTGTGTGTGACTGTGTGTGTGTGCGTGTGCGCGCGCGTGTGTGTGACTGTGTGTGACTGTGTGTGACTGTGTGTGTGACTGTGTGTGTGTGACTGTGTGTGTCTGTGTGCGCACGTGCCTGTGGGACTGTGCTGGTGTGTGGGGTGGGACTGTGGGACTGTGGCTGTGGGTGTGTGGG